GAAGCAGTTGTATTCATCTATCGGCAATCTTGAACCAACAAAATGACAAACACGACGATTGTTGGAAGCTACAATATTGATGTTGGAAATATAGAGAGCTTTGAAGTTATAACATTGGTGTTGATAGTTACAAGGTCAAGGTTTACAACATTAGTGTCAAAAGTAAGATTTTTGATAACTTGAAATTTTCTGCATTAAAGAATGCCAGCACAGGATAAACTCAATACAACTTATCTGAAAAAGGATCGCCGAAATAAATAAAAAATTTGATCCACATGCAACTGAATCAAAAGAAATGGCAGCCGCGATGAAATTACAGGCAACTGAAAGGTTAGAGATAATAAAAGAACTAAACGACAAGATTAACACACAACAAACAACAAGATCAACACACAGTCGATGTGATTGGAATAATACGATCGGCTTTCAGAAGAATATCACATAAGAAAAAGCAATCGAAACAGCTATACCCGCAACGATTATACAAGAGCCTGAAATTAGTCTACTGATTTATTCATCTATGGACGACGCATGTGATATCTGCGACGCACGTGACAACTGCGATGCACATGTTGTCGTGAAGAAAGAAAGTTACTTAATAATGAAGCTGCTAACAAAATTGACAATGAAGATTTTAAAAATATTTGAGAAGTTAGCAGCGACTTTTGTTATGCAGTGGACAACTAATCAGAATTTTCTACCAACAACTCGCATGTTTTCATCGATAACAACGACAACATTAACTAACATTAATGGCAACAACGATTTCAATGCAACACTCACCAAGGATTCAACTTTTGATGATGATTTAGATAAGACGCCATTCTGGAAAAGTATTAATCTACAGATTAACGACGTCGGTGAAGATGTAATAAGCATTTAGGACAAGAATTGGGGACTGACAAAGATTCAAGTTTTGAGATAACCCTTCCACCACGCACGTGGAATGAAAGCTTAGTTCTCGTCTCCTGAATGATGATATTAACGACGGCTTCGTAGCTGATGAGGATGAGTTTTTCATCGCCACATCACTGATCAACCACGAATCTTACAATATACATCAAAATACCGGTCTGGTCTTTATACACCTCGCAAAATCAATAGAAAACAAGTTATTGTTTCAAGTGAAGCCTAAATCATGACAGGACCACGACGTATGCTTATGGCTAGAAGAACCAAAACAATGGGAACGTGGCGTGACCCGAAAAGTAATAACGCATGTTTCAAGAGCAAAGACCAACTTCAAACATCACGATCAGATCATCAGACCCTCCATTTATCAGCCCATTCATCAAATTTCTACTTTGCCAAAAAATTAAACTCATGAGATTAGAATCCATCCTTAAAGCTGCAGCGATCACAAAATACATCAGTAAACTAATCATCAACTTCAACACTCAAAAACTTTCACTAACAGTAAGCGTGGAAGCAAAGCCATGTGGGAACAAGTCAACAAGATTAGAGGCTCTGAGAAATCACTCAACACATCAACCGTGCAGCATATTGATGCCAACAAACTCAACACCCACTTTGTTTTCATGTCAACCGACCCGTCCTACAAAATTCCACCAACAAAAGCAACAACAATCAATAGTCGTCAACATCAACAATTTACCCCATATTCCGTCCTGCTCATGCTAACGAAGGCTTGTCCATCCGGTACAGGTCCAGACAGTCTACCAGCATGGTTTTTACAAATCATTTACAAACTTTACAATCACTGCTTAATACACTCATTCATCCCATCAAAATGTAAATCCAATTCCTAAAACAAAATACCTGTCATCACCAATATGTTATCGCCCAATATCTATAACCCCCATACTCTCACGTATTCTAGAAAAATTCATCGTTAGGTCATTCATCTATCCACGTTTCAACCATCCATCCATCAAACCACTAATACGAGACCGGTTTGAATTTTGCCCTACAGGCTCATCTACATTCGTCATCATCTCTCTTACTTCCATAATAACATCTTTCCTTAAAAATAATAATTATGTTCATCTTATTGCTCTCGACTTTTTTAAAGCTTTTAACACTCTCAATCACTTCTCACTTTCAAATAAGTTAGTCTTTTTTCCACTACCTGACAACATTTACAACATCATAATAAATTTTCTATCTAATGGGAGTCATTCTACTTTTTTTTAGCTCTACTCTTTCATCTACTCTACCTATTAACTCTAGCGTAGTTCAAGGTTCTATCCTTAAACCATCTACTTTTATCATCAATGCTTCTACTCTCAAAACTTTTCATAGCTCTAATCAAATCATCAAACTACACCTACTTTATCATCCCATCATCTAACTCAAACACCATCCAATCAGAACTCGACTCATTAACTACATGGGCAAAACAATGCAACCTGTCACTTAACCTCAATAAATCATTCGAACTCATCATTCACAATAGCCGTAAAAAATAACTTTACTTCCTGAACACCCATCAATCACTCGCACAAATCAATTAAAAATATTAGGCATCACATTCACCTCCACACTCAATATAGCGCCTCATATCAATCACATCATCACAAAAGGCTTTCAAACATTTCACACTCTCAAAACACTCCATTCACATGGTCTCAGAGGCATCAAATTATTCGACATCACTGAATCACTCATCAGCTCACGCATCAAATATGCAGCTCCCTCCTGGTCTGGTTTTGCTACACAACAACAGCTCCAGCAACTACAATCTCTCATCAAAAAACTAATTTGCTTTAACTATCTACCTGCATCATACCTACCATCACTCAGATATTCAACACACTCGATTTAAGACTGTTCAAGAAAGTAGAAAATAACAACAACCACGTCGTCCATCCTCTACTACCACCAATTAAAACTACAACACACAATCTTCGTCAGCGCAAACATAACTATCAAGTTGTCTCCCAATCTACATACCAGGAAAAGACCTTCATCACAAGACACCTCAAACATATTAATACTCACTAAAACTTTATCATTAAAGAACTAGTTTTTATTTATCGATCACCTTACTAACTCAGAAGCAAACATATAAATACTCATTAGAACTTTATCTTTCACAGATCTAGTTTTTATTTATTGATCACCTCACTAACTCACTTAATCATCATCTAGTCTATTAATTTGCCGTTACTTTGTTTTATATTTCATTGTCAATTACTTTTCTTTTATTTTTTTGTTATTATTATTTACTTTATTCTAACTTATTTCATTTTTTATATTTTAACATTTTTTTTCTAACTTTTTGTATTTATTTATTCATTTATTTTTTATTTTGTTCTACTGCCTTGCATGTTGTTACTGTTAAGTTTTATATTAAAACATTATGATTTATAATATACATTTATTTTTCTTTGGACCAAATGTTCTTTGCTTTGTATGTAACTTCACTTTTTCCTTTTCTTTTGATCCGGTGGATAATAAACAAGTCGAGAACGTTGCTTAGTTTGTTTCTCTTCTTTTAATGTCTTTCAAAAGTATATCACTTAATTAAACGATCTACGTGACAAGAAATTTAACAGGTTATGGGACCCAGATAACGTTTTTCTTAATTAACTGATTTGACGAAGAAAATTTAGAATAAAGAAATATCGGAAGATTCCTTTGTGTTTGTGAAGACTGAAGTGAAGAAAAAACATGTGCTTCTTCATTCTCTGAAATTCGATATTTTGCTTCTAATTAAAAGGTCAAATTGAAAGACAAGGAAGAAATGGACTCAAAGCTTCAAATAAAACAGTTAAGTTGCGCAGCCGATTGGCCCATTTGGAAACGTCGTGTTCGAGATTTCATGGACTACCATGAGGGCGCACTTGATGTGATTGATGGGAAGTTGTCAAAACCAGAATTACTAGAAAATCAAGCAGAGCAACAGACAGAAAATTTTAAAAATAAATCAGATCTGTTTAGAAAGGCAAACAGTTATGCCAAATCAGTAATTGCGAATGCAGTCACAGAAGATACATACCAAAAGATAATGGACAAGAACACAGCGTTTGAAGTTTGAAAGGAATTAAAAAGAAATTTTGAAGCGTCAACTAAGGACCAACTGTTCCAAGTTTGTAGCAATTTTTTCGATTTCAATTGGATAGCGGATGTAGATGTGTCCGGCCAAATTGCAAGATTGAAGACTTTATGAAACGAATTAAACAGTGGGCTTCAGGCATCGGGAGAAAATAAACTACCAGAGCTGCTATTAGTATGCAAAGCGATGCAGATTCTCCCAAATAGTTTCCAAAACTTTAAATCAAGTTTAATCACTCATCTCTGTGCTTTCGAAAGAGAGATAAAGACTTTCGACACAATTGATAAATCATCAAGGCAGAACGCCTTAGTTGTAAATGTTGAAAAGCCAAGTTTCAACAAATCAAGAGATTTCACTAAAAAGACAAAACCAGTTGGTAACTGCAACTATTGCCATAAACCTGGACACTGGGTTAAGCAATGTAGAAAGTGGGTCAGTGATGGAAGACCTTCTAAAAATTCCCAAAATGTTTCAGTGACACCAAGAAAAGCATATGATGAAACATCAAATGTAGTTTTGTGCACGTCAGCCAGTAATCAAACACTGAGAGACAATAAGAAATCACTAGTTGTTATGGAATCAAGTGTTTTTGCAATTGATGAGTCAGCGTACACTGATGAATGGTTTTTTGACAATGGTGCAACGTGTCATCTAACTTTCCGAAGAGACATATTTCAAAGTTTTGAAAAATTTTTTCAACCGAGTAAATTATATGTTGCAAATGGTGATACTGTAGAAGCTTTTGGAAAAGGAATTATTCATCTTCAAGTGAAAGTGAATAATAAATGGCAAACTGTTAAACTTACAGATGTCTTGTATGTGCCAAAAGTAAAAAGAAATTTGTTCTCAGTACTTGCAACTCAAGATAAGAACAGAAATATCTCTTTTGTTTCAACCTCAAGAAGTTGTCATCTACTTATTGACAATGTGATAAATTTTGTTGGAATAAGAAACAACAATGGAGGTTTGTTCAAACTTGTTGCAAAAACTGTTAGACCGTTGAGTTCTGAAGTCGAAGTTAACTTTGTCAATGATCAAGATGCATTGCAGTTATACCATGAAAGAATGGGACATCAGAATAAAAAACGTGTTAAAATGCATCGATCAAGAGATGTTATTTTTGATGAGAAGGTTGTCAAACCAAATTCAGTGATTTTGCAAGAAGAAAGTTGTTCAGATGATACAGTTTCGATTGATGTTGAAATCAAAGATGAAAATAAAGAAACTTTGATTGAAGAAAATATTTCAACTGATGAAGATGTTCACAACCGTAGTTCAGTTTCATCTGATGAAGAAGATCAATCTGACTGTTGTAATCAAAAGACCAAAGGTATGGTTTTACGTGACAGGAATAATATCAAAAAGCCATCTCGTTATGATCCTTTTGTTATGTCTGCATTATGTGAAGTACTTGAACCAGTGAGCTACAAAGATGCCATTCAAAGTGATGAAAAAAATGAATGGTTTAAAGCCATGAACAGTGAAATGCAGTCATTAAAGAAAAATCAAACGTGGGATTTGGTAAGTCTTCCAAAAGGTCATAAGGCAATACTATGCAAATGGGTCTACAAGGTAAAACACAATCCAGATGGTTCTGTTGAACGTTTTAAAGCCAGGCTAGTGGTAAAAGGTTTTTCTCAGAAAAAGGGAATTGACTATGAAGAAACCTCTAGTCCTGTGGTCAGAAGTTCAACTATAAGAACACTATTAAGTGTTGCTGCAAATGAAAAGATGTCACTCATGCAGTTTGATGTGTCAACAGCATTTCTTTACAGCAAACTAGATGAAGATATTTATATGGAGCACCTGAAGGTTTTAAAGATAATTCAGGAAGAGTCTGTAAACTCAAGCGAAGTCTCTATGGACTTAAACAAGCTCCAAGATGTTGGAACAAACGCTTTGCTGAATTCTTGAAAAAGAGACATTTCAAACAAAGCGATGCAGATACTTGTTTGTTCATTAGAATACAGGGAGGAAAGAAACTCATACTTGCACTGTATATTAATGATGGACTAGTTGCAGGAACCGATAAAGAAGAACTAAAAATATTTGAAAAAGAATTAAAGTCAGAGTTCAAGATAACATCTAAACCTGCAACATATTTCCTTGGATTAGAGATTAATCAAGATGAAAAGGGAAATATTAATGTCAGTCAGTCATCCTATACAAGAATGATTCTTGAAAAGTTTGGGATGAGTCAGTGTAAATCCTGTACAACTCCGATTTCAAAATCTGAGGAGTTCGATGAAAACAAAAATGAACACGAGGAAGTAAAATTTCCTTACAGATCAGCAGTTGGTGCATTGATGTACTTGATGACGGGAACAAGACCAGATATTGCATATGCAGTTGGAGTAGCATCCAGAAGTTTAGAGAAACCCAGCAAGTCCAATGTAGCACAAGTCAAGCAAATTTTCAGATATTTGCAAGGCACAGCTGATGTCGGTATTGTTTACAAGTCTGGTCAAAACAATACACTTATAGCCTACAGTGATGCAGATCATGGAGGAGATAAATCTAGTGGAAGATCGACATCAGGTGTAATCTGTATATTTGGAGGAAGCGTGATATATTCTATATATATGGTGAAGACCCATTTTTGGAGCTCCAGAGAGTAGAGGTCCGCTTTGTCGTAAATTCGCTTCTAGTCACATTATCAATAGAATATCTAGTTGTTCACGTGTGTTATTATTACTCTTCACTCCAATTGTTATTCCTACGAATTTTACCGAACTCAATTTTTTTTTAAATTAATTTAAAAATGATTTAAAATTGTGCTCTTTTACCGTTTTGCTATTAAATAAATAATCTCTAGCTATTTGTGAATATTGAATATTTTATCGAAAATCTTTAAATAAAGAAAACTTTAATGAAACTAAATGCAAATAAATAACAAAAAATAATAATTCAACGATACGGAATGACATTAATTTATATTTGGTATTAGATAAATAATCTCTAGCTATTTGTGGCTATTGAATATTTTATCGTATATCTTTAAATAATGAAAACTTCAATGAAACTAAATGCAAATAAATAAAAATAATAGTCTAACGATATGGAATGACATTAAAAGATTTAACATAGCCATTAATCTTTTTTTTTAATTAAAATACAAAATACATTAAAAAATGCTGAAACTATGCATCCTAACATCAACAATATAACTATTTTCTTAACATTTAAAAGTTATAAACAATTCAAAAAAAATTTATGTCGTAAAAACTATGTTTTTAGAATTATTCTATTAATACCTTTTGAGTCATTGTAATGAATATGTGTATCTGTCTGCGTGTGTGTATGTTAAAACCAAAACATAATGAGTGACACTGAACCGTCAAACATCAAGTAACAAATGGATTAACACTTTGATTTGTCGTTAATTGCACATGTCGGCATTCAGTTGAATATTTTCAAGCACACAGACACGCTGGAACCACTGCAACAAGCACGAAATGTGGTTAGTTGCGAAAAACAGTTCCCTGCTGTCGCCTGATCTGACGCTGATCATTTTACATATTGCCTTAAGAAATTTAAGGGTGTTGGGGTCCATCGGGCCGAGAACCTTGATACATATTGGCAAGAATTCTATGGAGGGGAGGGCGTTCCCATATTTTTTCATTTTCTCGTCCGCTGCCCTGGCCGCGGCCAAACCGCATTCTTTACTTGTCAGGTTTACATATCGTTCGGCAAGGGTGCCAAGGACCGTAACATCCCACGCCAAACATCTGCCGGCTCTCCAAGGTATTAGTGTGCATCCGTTCGGGCGCCTACCATCATGCGCAGAAATGCCGGATGGTTCCTTGAGAACCAGGATTGAAGCCTTGGAGAAGAGCCAACAAATGTATTCGTTTAGCGCTGAATGACGTAGTTGACGGCCTCCACCCAGGCGACAAACCAAACTGTGGTGCCCAAACTCGTCCGCCCCAGCGCCACATCGGCTCATGTATTTATTTTGAATGACCAGGCCAAGTCTGAAACCAATGGCAAATCTCACAGACTCGTCGTCAAGCCTGGTGCCCACAGAGGTGTTGGGCCACGATCTCAACCACCCACAGCTGGCAACCCTGGACATGGCCAACAAACGAGCGGTGGAAAAGTCGTCGCCGCATGAAGACAACAAATTTTGAAAGATTTTTTTATATTCTTCGTTCAAAATTTGGACGTGCGTACGGTCCTCCGGGCGGACACTGGGGGTAGAATATCGCGGCACCGAAAAAACCGTTGGAGCAGGGAAGACTGCAGGTCGAGAGTGGCAGCGGCAGAAGAATTATAAACAACAGGAGCCAGCTGAACCGCGCTAAGCAACCCCAGCCCACTAAATCGCACCGGCAGCTGAGCCTGGGACCAACCACTGTCGGTCACTTGAACATTGCAAATCGACGACAGGGCGGTGCGCAGGGCTCCGTCAAATTCGCCCAATTTAAAAGGGTCAATGTGTTTGGATGTACGCAGGAAGTACATCAATTTGGGCAAACTGAGGGCATTGCGGATAATAGTCAAGGCATCATGGGCCGAAAGACAGGAAACACGACCCAGGGCGAATTTAAGCTCAGAGAGCTTTTGGTCAAAAAACTTTATTTGATAATCGCCCTCGCCCAAGGGTGTGCCTAAAAACTCAATTCTGATGCACCAACTCTGGCACCTGAAATAAACTTTGGCAGTGAAGTTCGCATTTTTTAATGTTTAACTCTAAACCAATTGCAGCGGAGTTATGCTTCAAATATTTGTAGCTATCGGCCAGAGTTGGGGCGTCCGAAGCAATGCTGATATCTTCCAGATAAGCGCAAACGAAAGAGGACGAAGCTTTCTCTAAGAGTGGATGAAGAGTTAGTGCGAACAGCAAAGGACCAAGGGGATCACTCTGCTGTACCCCCTCGGACGATTCTACAGCTCAAGAGTGGTAGCCAAGGGAAGAGACTCCACCATAGGCAGAATGGCAAAAATTATAGATGTTTGGGCAAAAAAGTTTGACAGCCTCCAACATCGAGTCTCTTCTCAAGGCGTTGAAGGCATTTTTAAAGTCCACTTTTAGAAACCCCCATTGATCGGGGAGGTCGGTGACCAATCTTCGAACCGCATGAACAGCGGCCTCAGCGCCCCCTTAATCCCGACACCCAACTGAGTCGGGTAGAATTTGGTCTTGAGTTCGACCACGACCAGGGCCAAGGCACATTTGCCGGCCAACCTTCTCCAAACGTTTCCGACCGCAATCGGTCTGACCCCTTCGTCTTTCTTATTTAAAGCTATTAGCCGGCCTTCAAAAAAGAACCGGCGGACTGAGAGTGGGCAAGCTCCAGATAGGATCAAATTAATGAATTGGGTTAAGGAGTTCAGTGTGTTGTCGATTGGCAAGGGGCCTGCAAAAACATCTCTAAGGTGCTGGGGTCGTAGGCCATCCAGGCCTCCAGAAGAACCGTTTTTGAACGATTTAACGGCCCTCAGCACCTCGGCGGGAGAAACGCAACCAGCCGTTGGTGTCAATGCGGGGAAGACCCGCCTGTCCACCGGAATTTTTGGGTGGATGGAACATAATTTATCGAAAGTGGCTGGCGAGCTCTACTCCAGGCCCTCCGGCGAACAGACAAGTCTGACAGCCGAGGACAGGTTCCCTGTTCAATACAAGATGACACAGCGTTGATCCACCGATCAGGGTTGTGCTTTTGTGATTTGGCATTATTGAATCCATCAAAGCACAGTACCAGGGTTTCAAGACCAATAGTTGAATATTCGCTTAGACGCTTGTTGACCAGATTGCCCTGGTTGACCCGGCGACCCCCTCTGGAAGTCTTCTGTAAGACGTATGGGACAAAACAGTGGAGTCTAACCCAGTGAGCCGGGTCACCAGGGTCATTACAAACAGCCGTCAGCAAGGCGTTCAGATCATGTGCGAACTTCTCCCTGCATGGCTTAGGGATATGGTCGTACACCGGTACACATTTCAGCACGGCCGTCAGCTTGTCTAAAACACTAGAGTAATCCAGGTCGAGAGGATCACCAGAAACCGATGCGGCCGTCGACCGTGTGGACAACCTAGGCTTGGGGTCGGGTGTGGCATCGAGAGGTGAAGCAGCCCTCGCGCCCGATGGATCAACTTTTTTCCGGGACCCCGAGCATTCCTGTCCTTTCACTTTACCTCCGTGCCGACATAACTTTCCGTCTGGAGTGCTTCTATAGTGATTAAAGCAGACGAGGCACTGTTGTAACGTTGGAGCCATATGTGATTAAAAACAACCAAGAAACGAAGGAAAGGAAACAAACCAAGTGGGGTGAATGGATGAATGAATGGATGAACAAGCGAATGACCAATTGAACGGGCCAGCAACCTGTGTGTATGTATGTATGAATGTATGTGTGTGTAAGATTGGGTGTGTGCGTGTATGTGCAAGCCACAACTATGTATATTTATGTACGTACAAATGCATGTATGTGGTAAAAATATTTTTAAATGATTGGCAATTTAAAATACTAACAACATGAAATAAAATTTGTTAAATCGATTTCCTTTCCTAAAAACTTAGGTAAAACATGGCTCACATATGTTTGAATGTCTTTGGCAGAAGCAAAGACAGCACCTACTGCGTATAAATTTTCGCTCAGCTTACTGTTACTGAGTTGGAAAGATTTGAGGTTACAATTCGTTACAATTTTTATTTTTTTTATTTCAATTTATTTGTAAAATGTCTTAGATTTTAAAAATTTACTGTAAATTATTGAAATAATTGATTATTGTATTGTTTCAGGTTTTTAAACGAAATTACTTTTCTCAATCGTCTTGATCGCGTCTGCATTTGTTGTGTGCACCGAGAATGTCTCGTTGAGTGCCAGCCAAGTGTCTGAAATTCTGTTTGCTCACAACAATTTGAGAAAAAATGAAGGAGCTTCCGATATGCAGTTGCTGGTGGGTGAGGAATCATCGATTCCTCTTCAAACATTGTCAATAATTGAACTATAAAAACATTGCGTGTAAATTCTAAGCAACATAAATGTTATTTTAAAACATCTATGCTCTGTTTTTTGATGTAATAATTGAAGAATGTGTGAAAAACATTCAGAAATGGAATGAAGAATTGGCTTAGATGGCAAGTTCATTGGTTAGCAAGTGCGTATTCAAACACGACAAAACAATTCCTCCCAACGTCATTCTTCCTTACTTGATATCGGTCAAAACCTTTATGCCGGCACGTCATTAAAGCCCAACTACACACATGTCGTTATGGAATGGTTCAATGAAAAACCGAAATACAATTTTGCCACTAATACATGCGCCGTTGGCTTTATGTGCGGACATTACACTCAGGTTGAGATTTTATTATTACTAAAATTAAAATTATGAATAATAACAACGGTCAGCCAAAGTTCGAACTTTTGAGATTTTGTCACTGCGCGTTGACGTCGTCAAAATGATGACCAGCCAAATGAAAATCTCACATTTTATCCTTTATTTCAGTTCTTGTATGCACAATTTCACATAATCCATACATAATCAATGCGTGTGTTACCGTGTGAATTTGGCGAGTTTTTTTGAACGACAGGTTTAATTTAAAACTAAGCCCATTAATAAAAAAAATATATGAAGCTTTTTCAGCGCCGCTTGCTTGAAAACAGAAAATGTTTTTTTTAAATAAATTTATAGATAAATTAATATTACTTTTGATATATGGAATTTATATTTTGAAGGTCGTGTGGGCGAGCACAACGACAGAAGTTGGTTGTGCACATGCTGTTTGTCAGACGAGCCAATTTATCTACCCGTCAGGTTTATTTGTGGCCTGCAATTATGGACCACCGTTAGAATAAATTTTATTTCACTTTTTATGTTGACAGTGGCAGATCTAAGTTGGAGAATTTGAAAAGAAATTTCCATCCCTTAGCTTATTCTTTGTTGCTCCTGGGCCAACTCAACACTTGTAAATCCGCCTCTGAATTTTTGAAACAGCTTTTGCCAAGTTTTATACTTGGTTTTGGTCATGGATATATATATAGTATATATATATATATATATATATATATATATATATATATATATATATATATATATATATATATCCATGGTTTTGATTAGGTTTTAGAAATTATTTACTTTGGAAAGGTAGACAATAAATGTGAAGCTCCGAGTTTGTCACGCAATAGAGCTTTAAGTACATTAGAAAAATGGCATTTTTTTGGTGTAAATAGAAGAAATATCTTCTTCAATAAACAGAATAAACATAGTTTTGTTAAAATTTAATATACATTTAAAATACATTCCAATAAATATAAAAAATTCAGTGGAAATTATCCTGGCGAAAGTCCGTATACAGTTGGGCCAGCCTGCGAAACATGTACTGAAACATGCACTGATGGACTTTGTGGTAAGTAAAAGTTGGATTAAAAGGATATGTATATATTTTTTGTTAATTTAACGAAAATTATTGACAATTAAAAATTTTCGAATCAAGTTTTTTCTGAATTTAGATTGTGTTAGGCCTATATTATAATTTGCGAATTTGATCATGATAGAATTTTTTTCTGGAGTGATGTTTTTTTTACGTTCCACGATCATACATTTTATAAATTGAAATTTATTTTAATTAATTTAATATATATTTATAAGCTATATTAATAAATTTATTTTAATAATTTTTTATATCTTACTAGAATTCTCCTTCCTAACTGAAATCGGAGAATTCAACCCATCATAAGTTCTATTTTCTGAATTATTAATCACTATCAAAATTCGACATTACAAAGTCATTCATTCTTTAATAAAAAATTTTATCTTGTAAACTTTGAATAAAAAATGCAGTTAGGATATTATATTAAAAACGAGATGGCTCTTCTCACAATTTAAAAAAAATTGTTATTTCGTCGATATTCAAAACAAATGGTTGCATTGCATATGTAGGCCCATATATCAAAATAAAATTATAGACAAATTACTTCACCAATTGGTATAATTATTAATCAAATCATTAATCAAATCTACAAGTTATTATTTTTCAATCATCTTCAGCACTTGTTGCAGTTTATGCAGAAAACTTCAAATTCTAAAAACTCTGTATTATACACACATATATACAAACATAAACACGCATATACATACGAACAAACATGTACAATAATAATAATCATCATCATAATCATGCTATATACATACGATTTGTGACAAAATGCTAGATTTATAGTTATTGGATTTTATCATGGGCTCATGCATACACAAAAACATAAACATATCAACATAACTACACATACACACAAACACACATAAAGCACCCGTGTAATAACAATGACATATGTATAATACATACATATATATAATAAAGGCAATAATAATAATAACAATCTTAATCAAACATACCTATACAGATATCTATACACACACGTAAGCACATAAATACATTCATGTTTATAAAAATGTCACAAAAGTTTAGATATAAAGAATTGATATTAATAACTATATATTAACCTAACCAATACAAATTTATTTAACACACGCATACACCCAAACACTCATTTCCTTATACACATTCGCATCAATACATAAATTCATCACACATACCTATAAAATTAAATAACTAGTAAATAAATATACATACCTAGATAGAAATGATAGAATTAAACAAATAATTACACATACATATATGTACATTACATCCAATCACATCATACATAAAATATGTATACACACATATTCATAAAATGAAATATAACAAATTGATGCATAAATAAATAAAACGATAAATAAAAGAAAATTTTAATGAAGTTAAAAAACATCGGTATTTCATTAATAATAAATAACTATACATAAAATTTAATGACAATCATTTTACAAATTGTAAGTGTTGAATTAATGAATTAAACGTACAATCCAACAAAATTTTTAAAATTTATAACAATAAAATTCATTCCAGTCATATTCAAATTTTCAAGAGATGTTAAACCAATGTTTGTCCAAATTTTTCTTAAATTCACCTACGTTACGAGAGCACACCACCTCTTCAGGAAGGCCATTCAGCAATATAACGACTTGATTTGTAAAATAATACCTCTTAAATTTTTATTGATGGGTCCAACTTTGAGCTTTAATTTATGGTTTCTTGTTCTGTTATCATGCACCTTTTCAATGACAGGATGACCATCATCGGATTTACTCCTCAACATACTAAAAAGCAAAATAATATCTTCTCTGTTTCTACGGTATGTCAATTGAGCAGATTAAAAAATTTCATTCTTTCCACATAACTTAAACAGGAACAAATTTTTGCCATTTTCGTTGCCATATTCTGAACTCTTTTGATATTTTCTATCTCTTTCATGGTCCACGGTCTCCAAACACTCGCTGCATATTCCAAGTTTGGTCTGACTAAACCCTTGTACAACTGTAAGAAAAGAAATTTGTTTAAATTACGAGAGTTTCTATTAGTATGGCATTATGCCAAGAACGGCAAGTGCTTTATTAATTGAATCAAATATTTGATTTGTTAATTTCAATTTATTATCAAATAAAACATCCTAATCCCGTACTTCTTCCTTGCAGTCTAAAAATACTGTAATCTAGGCCCATATTCTATGTTGCCCACTTGCTTATAACTACACACTTATCTATGTTAATACTAACCTTCCAAACGTTACACTAATCAACAATTTTATCTCAAACATCAACAATTTTATCTCAAACATCCTGCAAGCTGATCATACCCATCATACCCTTTACCCTCATTATAGGTTTAAACACTTTATAGGTTTATAGGTTTAGGCATCATCTGCATAAAGATAAAGGTTTATATCATAGTCTCCATCGCAAACACTGAACATATCGTTAACAAGAACACTTCCTTGTGGAACGCCACTGGTAATTGTATATAGTCAGTGACGAAAATCACTGCATGTTCGGCGTTGGTTAACTTCTAATTTAAGTTTTCGATTTTTCTAACGGTTGATCGTTAATCATTTTTAAGTTTCTTTAGTTCAAAACCGAAATTTGTGTTTATTTTATGATCGATAGAACAGAAAAGCTTTTTTCGGTATTTCTATACCATTTACGATGTTCAAATTGATATGTTGTGGTTGGGCCCAGATGCTCAAATATTTTTATACTGTGCCTATTTATTGGTTCCTTGTTTATTTAAAGTGAATATTAAGTTTTACATTCGTCAACGTCGTAAAATATAACACTTTTATGTGTTTTCATCATCTATTAATATAACACTTTATCGATGATTCCTCTGTTTGTAAATTTATTAGTAGGAAGAATTCCAATTGCCCGTTGTTGAATATTTATCATCGGATGTCTTTGTTCTATGAGTATTGATTCGGCTAGTCGTAAATTATAATGGCTGTTATTGTAATGTAAGATTTCAACACTGTGGTCCAAGAATTGTCAAGTAATTTTAGTTTTGTGTTTCTCATTCATGTGATTCTTTTTAGCGCCAGTTTGTACGTACATCGTGAGTTTTCTCGATAACTTGGTCGTCGTGATATCATTATATTCAGAATTATCGTGCCCACACTTACCAATATTACATTTGAACAAATATATTAGATGGCTATTATTAAAAGTGTTACATTTTACGACGTTGAAGATTGTAGAAAAATCGAAAAGTTAAATTGGAAGTTATTAACGCCGAACATATTATGATATATATATATATATATATATATATATTTATTTATTTATTTATTTATATATAAACTTCATTAAATATTTTTGCCCATTTTCCTTTAATTACTTTTTTACCAATAGATTCAACATTTCGTATTTGGGTTAAATTATATTTATTAAACAGTTGTGTCATAGTGCGGCTTACAACGTTGTTTCGGCATGAGCGTCATTTTCAGAGCCGATATGTTGACGACATTTTTATCGTGTGCAGATCCGTCACGGATATTAATAATTTACAAAACACGTTTCAGAATATTTTCATTATCGATTAATATAACACTTTATCGATGATACCTTTGTTTGTTTGTAAATTTATTGGTGTATATATATATATATATATATATATATATATATATATATATATATATATATATATATATGTTCAACCTAATTTGAACAAACAAATTTATTCCAATTTTATTTTACCTTCATCACGAAATGTTTAATTTATTATTATTATTATTAACATAATATTGCACATATAATATATTTTAATATGTTATATTACAAAATAATTGTTTATTATACTTAATTTAACTACTTACGTTATTTAACTTTAATCGTTACGTTACTTTCGCGCTCAACTCTTATTACGTCATCTGACAGTTAATTGTTATGTTTTATTTGAATTAATATTAAATTGCCTGAAGATGAATTATAAAATTCGAAACGTCGCTTAATAAATAATTATATAATGAATATTGGTGTTTTAATTTTTAATTTAAATTATAATTATAAAAAACTAATAAGAAAAATAGAAAATCTTAATAAAAAATTAAATAACAATAATATAAGCATCGCGTTTAATGAAATATGCTTAAATGAAAATTTGTTACCGAAATTTACTGATATATATATATATATATATATATATATATATATATATATATATACAATTACCAGTGGCGTCCCACAAGGAAGTGTTCATGTTAACGATATGTTCAGTGTTTGCGGTGGAAACGATGATATAAACCTGTATCTTCATGCAGTTGATGCTAAAGTGTTTAAACCTATAAAGAGGAAAAAGGGTGTAATGGGTATGAGTGATAATTTTTTAATTCCAGATAGACAATTTTACTCTACATTTGCGTTTGCTTTTTTTGGTCTTTCTTTTCTGAAACACGCATATACATACATTTATATTTATTGTATTTATATTTAAAAAAATTCATAGTTAAGCCAATTTGTAATTTTTTTTAAATTGGAAGCGTTTCTGTTTAATTCAAAATTAATTTAATTTAAAATTTTTATAATTATTTATAAAATTTTGTTTAAGAAGCAAGAGGCATGTTTTCTATGATTGATTCTGATATTTTGATATGATGTCTTTATGTCTCTTTAACATGGCGGCCGCAAAAGTTGTTATCAATGAATTGTTGTGTTTTATTTTCAATAATGGTGCAAATTTGGATAATAACCGTTTATTTAATGTTATTGCTGATAAGTTTAATACAGAGGACTTTAATTCTGCTAAAAAGTTATTGCTTTCGGATTTAAGACTTTTGAATTCGTCGAATATTCCAAAATTTGTAATTCATGGCAACGTTAAAAAACTGGATAAATTAAACAATTTACTTGAAGTTTGCAAATACATGCTTAAAAAAACTGGTTAATAAGGTATCAATTTATGTGTCACTTAATCTGAATAAAATTCCTGGATTTAATAATGAATTAAATTTAAATAATAATTTAAATATAACATACGATAATGAAAAGCGTACAGGCATTTTGGAGGTTGTAAACACTCATACAAAAATATTAATGGAAGTTAACAAAAGCATGGCCATGTTACGAGTTAACAACACTCCAACAATTAGTGCAAAACCGCATGTTACACAAACATCAACTCAATCACTGAGTAATAACAAATATTCAAAACAGCCCAATGCACAAACTACAGTTCAATATCAAGCCAACAACAATCAAGCAAATTTTTCAAAACTGACAGTTGCACATGTTAGTTGGTCCGACTGTGTACAATCTCCAGTGAATACTACTACAATTGTTGATAATTTTACGCTCTACTACTTAGAAACAAACGTGCAAGAGTGAACTCTCCGATCATTAACAATACGAAAAGCATGACAGCTCAAAGAACTACAACAATTGGTAAAAGACAAGCAGCCCGGTCAAAGATGTCAGCGAGCGAAGTAATACAAAATAAAAAAAAATTCTATCACACCAGCAACGTCAACAGATGTACCAGTGATAACATAATTGAACACTTAAAATTGGTGGATGTAGAAGTTTTGTCATGCTACCCTGCTCTAAAGAAAAGTTATGCCCAAGCGCTTGCAAACAACGACCAATCTACATCTTTTAAACTTTGCGTTGATAACAAATTTGCCAACATAGTTGAATCTGCCAATGCGTGGCCTGAACATGTACGCGTTAGAGAATGGCTTTTCAACATTAATTTGATGGACAGCAATAATAAATCAATAATCAATAATAATAATGGTAATAATGACGGTATTAAAAATGGTGGTGGTAACAAAGGTAGTAATAATAGTAAAAATAATAAATCAATAGATGTAAACTCAAATTTGATGAACAACAAATCAATTGTTTTCAACAGCAAACCTTTTGACTCCAACAACAAGCCACTGGACGATAGTACAAAATCAATAGATAAATCTGAAGACAAAACTGTACAAATGGACAAAAACAACGCCGACAACCATGAATAACACACCACGTATTAATTTTGGATCTATTTCGTCGAATCTTTATAATAATTCATATTTTACTATAGATGATTTTCATAATAATGTTATTAAATCATTTGATACTCATAGCTGCAACAATCTTTCCATTCTACACATAAATTCACGTAGTCTTCTTAATAAAATGTCTAATTTGCAAATTCTATCTAATCATTTGTAGTGTAATTATTATTAGTAAACGTGGTTAAATGACGCTTCAGCTAAATTAATCAATCTTTATGGATATAACTTTGTTTTTAGAAATAGGGCTAATCGTCAAGGTGGTAGAGTAGGTATCTTTGTGAAAAATAATCATGTTTTTAATATTTGTAATGACTCTATTTTTAATAATCAATCTGTTGATATATTGTGTATAACTTTAAAACCTGATCATACTCCTGCTTTTAAACCCCTCAAAGTTATTGCTGTTTATTGCCCACCTAATAGTAAAATAGATTTATTTATTATGAAATTGGAATTGATTTTAAATATATGTAAATTGACGCAAATAACGTATATAGTCGGGGACTTCAATATTAATCTTCTAAACTCAAATTGTATTCATAAAAAAAAATTTCAAAATTTGCTTCTGTCATATGGCTATAGTCCTTTGATACTTTTTCCTACTTAGGTTACCTCCACTTCATCTACTCTTATAGATAATATTTTTACTAACGCGCCAGACTATTCAGAAAGTGGAATCATTGTGTCCAATTTTTCTGACCATTTTCCAATTTTTTTTTTATCTCATAAATATAGGCTAAAGTCAATGCTAGAATGCACCTCATTTGTGCGCAGACTCACCAAACATAATATAAGATCAATTAAACTTTTTCTGAGATATGTTGATTGGTCAACTGTCATGAATGAAGCTAATGTTGACTGTTTGTTCAATTTTTTACAGTATAATTAATAGTGCTTTGAATAGTTTTGCTCCTTTTTTTTGAACAAGACAATAAGTAAAAATTCATGGTTAACCCATGATACTATTAAAATGTCTAATAAATAAAACAAGTTGTATAAACTATATCGGCTTAATCTTACGGTCCATAACTATTTGAAATATAAACAGTTCAGAAATGATTTCACTTCATATAAAAAGAAGACTGAAAATAATTTTTTCAAACAACAATTTTTTGCAGCTAAATCGGACGCTAGACAAAAATGGGTACCGATAAATAAAATTTTAAACAAGGACCCTTCTTTATTCATCAACAGTCTCAATATTAACAATGTAACGATTGAAGATACTAAAGAGATATGTAATGCTCTGAATACTCATTTTACTAATATAGTAAAATTGAACAGTCAAACCATCTCAAAACAATATTCATCTAAATTTTTAAAATCAAATAATCAGTCTATGTTTTTAAAGTTAACTAATGAATCAGAGGTTTTAAATAGCTAATAATTTAAAAAATAGTAAAAGCACCTCAACAGACACACTAAGTAATTTTCTAATTAAACAAATCATTAACGAAGTTTTAGTCCCTTTTACCCATATTTGCAATTTCTCTTTTTCGCAAGGCATTTTTCCCGAATGTTTTAAAAAATCTAAGATAATTCTCATTTTCAAAAAGGGTAGTGGAGAAGACATTAATAATTATAGGCCCATTTTACTACTCTCTCCATTTTCCAAAATTTTAGAAAAACTAATGTTTTGTAGACTATTTTCTTTTCTGAATGCTAATAATATTATTGGTTTCAGATCTAATTTTTTAACCGAATTAGCTGGGTTGCATCTAGCCCACACAGTGATGAATAAATTAAATGAAGGTATTTTGACGGTTGGCGTTTTTATAGATTTATCAAAAGCGTTTGATATGATTGACCATGACATCCTACTTGCCAAACTGTATTCCTATGGTGTTAGAGGTTTAGTACATTTATGGTTAGGGTTAGGGCCCGTGTTTTCAGACCCTGAGAGGGTCAATTGTAGAGCGGCGGATCTCGGCCAAGAAAGATTCCGCTGAAGTGAAGGCTCGGGTGGATATTGGTATGCGGACGCGGTTCGGGACCGCGTGGTGCGGAATTTGAATGTCGCCCGGCAAAAATCTACATATATATATATATATATATATATATATATATAAATAAATATATATATATATATATATATATATATATATATATATATATATATATATATATATATATGCTGATAGAAGGCCGAATTCTTGAAATTAAGTAATAAATTTTACGTTTTAACGTCAAAATAGATCTATCTGCAAAAATTTTGATAAAATACTTGTTGATAAAAATAAAGCTTCAATTTTAAACAGACTCAATCTTGTCGTAAAAATTTACTAAGACAAATTGATAAAATCGTATACAAGTTGATAAACACTAACAAATCGGTGGAATATATTACACATATATATATACAAATATTATATATATATTATATATATATATATATATATATATACATACACATACATACACTTTTATATATATCCATATTCTTTATATTTATATTAAATGGTTTTAAGAGGAAAAAAAATACTCAATCAGCCAGGCTGCCAATGTGTGTAATTAGTTTTACTTTTGCTCGAATTGTTTTTCACTTTTGGTTTAAAAAAGTTGCAAAACTTGAACGGGGATTAGATTGATTTGATCCCTCCGTATTTATTTTTTTGTATTTTTCAGTACGATGGCTAAGATAAAAAGACAGAAGCATGTTAAGAAAACATTGAAATTTTATAAAACACATTTCGGAATTGGTCCGCCATTTAAAATTTTGATCGACGGGACGTTCTGCAAAGTTGCTTTACATTTTCAAATTAACATTTTTGAACAAATGCCAAAATATTTAGACTGTGATGTTCATCTGTCAACTACTAATTGTGCCCTTGCAGAATGCTCAACTTTTGGATTCAGGCATGGTTTGTGACTTCCGTTCACTTTTTAAAATAAATTTTAATTATCATATAGTTAATTTATTATTACTCATAGTACTATAACTATATAGTTACTAATAGTACTATACTATATTAATAATACTATATAACTATATTCAGTTTACTACATAATATAAATTTTTTATTCAATTGTTTTTAATTTAATTTTGGCATAAGTTTATATTCCGAACTACAACAATTGTGAAAAAATAATGTGAAAATTAATTGAAAATAGAAGAAATGATAAAATGAAGTATAATAAAATTGTTCGTTCTATATGTTTCGTGTTGTTACGATGATGGAGTTGTCGCATCGGAGGCAGATGATATTACTTAACGATGTTGGCATACCTTTCAATGTAACCTTATTAAAACAACCACGAGAACAACCACGAGAACTATTTTAATAAATTGATTTTAATAAATTTTAATATATATATATATTGTTATTTTAATCAATATATTACTGTTAACATATTTAAATACGATATAAACGTTTTTAAAATTCTTCTATTTTTATCTCAATCAACTTTCAGCATATTAGTGGGAGGCGTTTTCGTAACTCTCTATTAGAGATAGTGATGTAAACAATCATAAATGTAAACAAATTTTAACATTGTAGTTCGGAATGTAAACTTTTGCCTTAATTTTTTAAGGTTGTGGGTTATGCTCACCATATTATCCACACTATGTGACATACACATTTTTGCTTGTGCCAGCATCACATCATATGTGTATCGTGATGGTCTTTGAGTGTTTGGGCAGATAGTATTCAAACCATGCCTTCGCATAAGACACGGTTCTTCTTTCAACAAAGCTAACTTGGTAACCTTGCGTTGCAAAATTTAACTTAAAAATTCGCTCTTTCTCTCTCTCTCTCTCTATATATATATATATAATTATTATTATTATTGAAATATTTATGAAGTGCTAATTTTAAAAATTTCAAACTCGCTATCAGACAAAAAACAGAACTTAAGTAACATAATTGAAACAACAAAAAGAATCAATGCAATGTACAGAAATAAAATTACAGTTTTGTCATGAATAGATAAAGTAATTGATGCAATTATGCAATATAACGAAAACACAAAATAATATTTAGAACGTAACAACTAAACAAAGAATTGATCATTATAATGAAAATAAAAAAGTTTTCAGTTTCTTCCTAGGATCACACAGGTTTAGGCCCGAGTTTCTGAGAGAAGCAGGTATTTTGTTCCAAACAGTTGGTCCAATATTACGAGAGCCTGTACTGAGTTTTATGGGATCGACAGCAGGTTTGAAACATCAGATCTCAAATGTGCTCCAGATGCTTTAGAATATTTCTTTTTGAACCTGTAAGAAAAATATGATGGAGCTAGACCATTGATTGATGGCTTGTAGACAAGTGTTGAAATCACTCTTTTGTCGACGGTTGGCCAATGAAGTTTCCTCATGGAGACACATGGTCATATTTTAGAGATCCAACAACTTTTGTCGCTCAATTCTGTATTGATTGTAGCACTTTCATGGATCAATCAGGTTAACGAAAAGTTAACTAACGTGGAACATGCACTTCATGTTAAAAATCGAAAAATTAAACAGGAAATTAATAGCAATGTTTGAAGCAAAGTTGTAATTATGATTTATGTAGTTATTTGGATTAGTGTTTCTATTACCATGGGCATTCGACAACAAAGTTGGCGTTTGAAGCACTTGCATTCATCTATCCGAAATCTTGAACCTGCTGAATAACGATAACTTCACGATCGTTGCTAGCTACAACACTGGTGTTGAAAATAGAGATCATTCAAGTAATAACATTGGTGTCTGTAGAAACGAGCATTAAAGTTTATAACAATATGTTATAATGTTGTATGCCACAAACGAATTGTGATGGATGATGCGAACATGCTGTGTCCCCTGTAGTAGAAGTATTTGCGTTGAGAAGTATTATCTATTTTGTTATTTGACTATGTTTGTGGTACGTGTGTAACAAATCTAGGCCAATTTGAACTAAAGTCTAGTCTATTGACTAGATGTTCATATACAAACTACTAGTCACTATAAGTTTGTATTTTAATCATCGGGTTTAAATATTTGTGTCCCTTGTGCTTGAAAGGCAGCTGTTTCTATCAACATTTATAATTATACAAATAAAAAATTAGCTGATTTATTATTTGCCAAGCATTTATCTTTTTTTTATGAAGTATAAAGTGTTGAACTTTATTAATTGTAATCTTGGTAATTTATACTTTTTCATTGGATATGCTTCAAGGTGTACATATATATGTATGTTTTATATGTTTCAAGATGGTATTAACAGGACTGATTTCATGGTACTTTATAAAATATAGTAATAAGGTAAATTAATAAAGTGCTTTAATAATTTTTTCATGCAATTCATTAAAAAATAAAACTCTTTATATTCGTGGTAGTTATTAGTATGATGCCAAAAAATATATAGTAATATTTATGCATATGCAGAGCACACATGCTTACACACACACACACGCACATTAATGCATACACACGCCTACTCTTAAATCCTTTATCTTTGAAACGTTTTTGGGGGTAAAGTGATAGGAGGCAAAATGTCTGTAAGTGGGCCAAACGTCATGTGGGTGAGAACGACAGGTGGCGAACAAACTGCTACTGCATGCAACATAGCTTGAATCTTTTTATTGTAATATGAGATATTAGATACTTATAAAATTAAGACTCAACTAACTGGGTGAATATTAATTTACTTATTAACTTCTCAACCACCATGAAATTCAGATTTACCACTTTATGGAGTTTACAAAGTTATTAGCCAATATTCTGTCGTTGAATGTGGCCACAAAAATCCATTATCACCAAGTGAATGTTTGTTGAGGATGGCGAAAAAGAATGTTGGATATTTTGTTGCCACTCAGGTGAGCTTCATTCACTGTTATGTTTATTGGAAAAATTAACTTAGCTCAGATAATTGATGTTAATTTCTAGTTGTTTAAAGTGAGTGAGTCAGTTGGTTGGCCAATAAGCTGCTCCCTACTTTTTCCTCTGTTGTTTCTTGCTTTTTATTCTGCTCCACTTTTTAACGTTTGCTGCTCGTCCACATGTTTTCCTTTGTAAAACTTCAGAGGCAAATTAGCTACTGCACTTTTAAGAATTAGCTTTATTAATTATTACTATCAAAATGGACAGGACCAGAAATTGAGTGCCAGTGTAAGATCCCTGCATGCTGTTCCTCTCTTGTACATTTCTCACAAGTCAATCAACCTGGAAGCGCCCTCCTTACCTTCAAAGCACCTGGCACAACAAAAGGAAATAGTAAAGTTTAATTTGTCTGAACAGGAACAGAAGCAACTGAATGACTTCAAAGAAGCTACAATTGATAAGGTGTGAAATTTTACAGTTTTCATTTAATTACAATTTTTACAAGTCAACTTATAACTGTTTGGCTAAAAACTAATTTTTGTGTTGTTGATGATTAATATTTTTGGAAAATAATTCTACTGTAATTTTTTATAAAAAGTTGAAGCGATTTGCATTAGAGACCTGTCCTATTGATAAATAATTATTTGTTGGGGTTTTAAAATAATTTCGTGATTTATTTGTGCTAATTTTTTTTCAGTATTTTTATTTTACATCCTTTGAAAATTGGCTTGCTTAATGTTAATCGGTTCATTAAGCTCATTGTGCATTAGAAAGGGAAATTACAAAATTAAAGCAAGATTAACTTTACATACAAAATTTGTATGTAAAAAATGCAGACAGTAAATCTAAAGATAAAAATACAATGATAAAGAACCCATGTAGAAAGTTGAAAATGAATATTTGATAGTGTTGAATATTGATTTGTGCTGGGCTCCTCTCATGTAGTTGGTTACTTCAAAGCGTTCTGCTTGGGCTAAATAAAATGTTTCAATTGTCTCTTGTACTCGTCGCTGGCAGGGAACGCTCTTTTCAGATCCACCTGGAGACATCCAACATTCGAGCAGTGGCTAATGAAATCGTCACTCACCATAACGAGATGAGTTGAATTTTGTTAACAGCAGGTGTCCACCATCAGCTGACCTCAAGTGACGTTAACAATTTCTCCCGTGTACATCAAATAGAGCAGAGGACCAAGTGATACGCCATCCACCTCAACTCCGCACTCACACTGTCTGATTCACTGCGACTATTGATGATCAGCTGACTTTTTGAAAAGTTCATGTATGCTCCAAAATCATTTACAAAAGGATTGCAAAGTACATCATAAAACATCATACAACAAAAGTAAAACATCGACATTTTATTTAGTTTCTTCTTGTCAAGTTTTTCTAGCTTCATGAAACAACTTACTGTTTTAGCTCTACTAATTAGACAATGATCTGATATTATTGGTGAATCAACTAAATTAGGGTAAGAATCTGAATGAAGTCAGACCTGGTGATTATCACCTCCAGAATACATTTTTGTTATGGTTCAATGAGCAAACGTGCTACTCACAACCAAAGGAAGACGAAGAGCATGTCGAAGAGCATTTTGTTTCTATCCGACAAATCCTCTAGATGAATGTCCAGTCCTCTCCGAATGATAATTCGACTGCTTCATGAACGTTTCATGAAGCTCCAGTAGTTGTCGAAACCTTGAAAATGAGAAAAACAATAAAAGTGCCATTTAAGTAAGAAAATGGTTCTGAATAAAGATTTAAAGGAAACAAAGGATTTTATGGAATACTACTAAAAAGTTAACGGTGTTGACAGATTAATTGCTTGGTAGCGCTTAATTTATAAAAATAAATAGCTTTATATCGCTAAAAAATGAACACAAATAAGTGTATCATTTATTCAACCAATCAATTGTTGTAATTTATATAGCGCAACTTCCGTTGAGTTTGAAGGCAAACAAGGCGGTCACACTGCATGCATGTAAAGCAGCTCTTTAAGCTCTTGATGAAATCATTTAAATCCAACATTTCACTGGACGTTCTGAACTTGCAGTTGTGCACCTGTAATTCAAGCTTAGATAGATTACTTAATAGGTCAGTTTTTATTATGTTTTTAATACTTTTAATTTTTAGGATGCTATAAAGCCAAAAAGAAAAAAAATCAAAGGACCCAATCCACTTTCCTGTAAAAAAAAGAAAGCTAAGCCTGTTGATGTTAACGGCATTAACAAACGACATCGCAAACGAAAACGACACAAGGTTTTTACATATTTCGTGCACATCTGTCTTATTTCTATTGTATTTACGTTATGTTATCTTCATCCTCTTTGTTCGCGAAAGTTTTTTTTTCTTTTAAGCAGTAAATTATAAATTGATATTTAGTACTACAACCATCAATTTAATTCTGGTGATTTGTACCAAACTTAACGAATTAAAACTTAATATGCTTCAATTTTTTCTGCTTTTGCTTTGTCTTCGGTCATCTTTTTATATGAAATAAGATTAAGTTCTAGTTGTTTACGATCGTCTTCTTCTTCTCGCTTTTTCTTAACTCGTGTTAAACACTCTTTTGCCAAATCTGCTTTTGCTTTTTCTGGTCCTTTTCTCTGGAACTCTCTACCTACTTCTCTGACTACTTCTCCATCACTTGACTACTTCTCCATCACTTGCGAAGTTCAGAGCGGATCTCAAGACCCATCTGTTTTCAAAATTCATTGAGGAGCGCTGTTGAACATCGCGGAAATAGCGCTTTATAAGCTAATTGATTGATTGATTGATTGTTTTAGTTTTGTTTCTATATGATGCTAGGTCTTTGAGGTTTGAAAGTTCAGCATAGCATATCCTGGATTATTTATTTTTTTAAATTAATTTTTTTTTTCAGACAAACACAACACAATTTAATAATCTTGAAACTGCGACGAAGGTAGAAAAGTAGATTTTGTTATGAACTGATACAACGTAATAAAATTTTAATTTCAAAATTTTGTGTTTTTTAGTTTTGTTTCATTTTTTATTAATGAGATCTTTAACGCTCTTATTTTTTAACTCTTCTGAGATTTGGTTGTGCGTAGCCGCCGACTGAACTGAAGCCATGCAGCTTGTCGTGTTGACGCAGCTTGATGACGTGGACGCAGATGAGGCTGACGATTGTGATGCGGCCACTTTGTCTACCGCCTTTAACATTTCCGCTAAATAGTTTTGTACGGCAGACATTGCTGCTACCAAAGCCGGCGAACCGAATCCGTGTGTAATTAGAGAATAATGAGTGAGGTGTCTCTGTAAATTTGAATCTAATATTGGTTGCGGTCTTGTGTTGCCTAGGGGTGATCTGTCTTTGTTCAATAAATCGACGAGCTCCTTTATAATTTGCCTGTAAAATTTATTGCAGGAAGTTTTCTTTCATTAGTGGTAGCTTGTTTTGAAAAATATTTTTAGGTAAAAATTGGTTTACTTAGTTGCTAAAAGCATTTGCTTGCGATGAGAAAGATCACCTGGATCTGTACAATGAAGTCTTGTATTGTAGTCTGCGATGTGCCTGGCCGGAAATTCAGTCTCGCACAAGTACCCGAAATCTCGAGCCAACCTAACGGCTTCACCTAAAAATTTTAAATTAAACTTTAATATGTCAAAGTGGTTGAAAAATCATTGCAAAAATGCAGACACAATCAATGACTGCTCAAGTTTCTACCTTCAACTAGAGATGTTAGTAATGTTACTGTGGCTGCTTTCCTTCGTCCAGCAGGTAGGCTCAGTCCAATTTTTTCAAGTTTTTCTCTCAACGCTCGTCCACCATTTTTAGATTTAGCTCTGAAATGCCGTTAGTTTGCTTTTTGTAACTAAAATTAGTATGCAATGAAAAATATAAAACCTTCTAAGAACGCCTCCGAGTAAGGATGCATTAAGGCATTCTGGAGGCATCAGTCGACGTTGGACTTCAGCAACGGTAACCTTGTATTTGGATGTTGAGCTAAGGAGGGACAGTCTTCCAGGAACTGAACAGAACAAATCTGTTGGAGAGATTCCTCCAGAAATGGCTAATAGTTGGTCATGAATCTTACTTCCTATCAGTGTGCTGCCGTGGGTTGCATGATGCCGGTTCGCGTCGTTTATCTGAGTGAAACTCGTTGCTCCTCCTGCTATCAATACATCAGTTTTTCTTGATGCTACTGCTGTTATATATATATATATTTATTTGTATATTATATATATATATATTTATATATATTATGTATAGTACATATATATTATATATATTTATATATTGTGTCATTGTTCTACATTGTGTATTCTGTTGTAGTCTCAGCATGTTTTTTAATGTTTTTGTATCATCGCCAAATTGAAAACAAGTTACCGTGCTTTCTGATGACTGAATTAGGGTCGGACAGGTACATGTTCATATCTTCCAGCTGCACCTTCAAAAAAGTGTATTATTATAATTCATACTGCTCTATGGCTCGTTTTATTGACTGACTTTATATTATCGCTGAACGTCGTTTAGTTTTAAGTAGTGACTTTTTGTGATTAGTAAAATCAAGATGATTTTAAATATATTTTTGCGAATGTATATTGATTTTAGAAACTCCATTGAATCATTTACATACGTAACTTAACAGGAGATATGAGATGTGTGTGCAAAATATTTGTATATTTCGACACTGTGTTGACAAAATATGCCGAAATTGTAAACTTTGTCATAGGGAATGGTCAGAGCTGAATTAAACTAAAATACAATATTTACGAATTGTATAAATATTTAGTTTTTAATTTAGCCTGCCGAAGCCAGCAAAATCGGCAAATCGAGTTTCGAATTCGATAAGTTAGACCAGTGCATATCAGTTGTCGAATTTTTTTTTCAATGAAAATTTTAACGGCACTGCAGCTCCCAAAATGGTGCCATAATGTGCCAGTAATTTTAATATTTTTTTCCTAATTTTTGTTTTTTTTCCTAATTTTTGTTTTTTTTCATAATTATTTAGTTATTATTATTTCATCATCAAAATCAATCACAGCCGAAAAGGAAAAATCCGATCAAGCTATTAATATATCAAGACATCAATCCAGAAAAATGAATGGTAATCTTTGACTTAAGTATACTTTAAGAGGTAAGGTTGTAATAGTTTATTCCAGTCTTTTTAAGTTGACGGGTAACAGATTCAATAACCACACCATAGACCAGAAGCTGACGTTAGCACGAAAAGAGAAAACCCACCTACCGTTCGCCAGCCCCACAAACCAATGACTCCCACTCCAGTGCATTCATTCTACTTCAATAAAGTTTTGACTATTTAAGTTCCTGGTATATCGCTTGAGCTTCCACCATGGATGCCACCCACAGACGGCATTTGACACAAATTTGAAAAGAATATAAAGATTAAGGATAGAGTGGGCTGATTCTCTCTTAGCGGCACACGAGCTTCCACCATTGTCGAATTTACTGTTGCATGCAGTATTTTAAATTTAGCCTACCAAAATCCGTTATTAGTACGTGCAGCTGTGGATTCAGGGCCGCATCTCCTAACCAGTTCATAAAAGGAAAAAATTGTGTGTAAAATATTTTATGTACCTACGTCATGACTTAGTATTTTCGAAGTAAAACGGGAGTTAGCCAAGAATAAGTGATAAACTTAAGAATTTTGTAAATCATCCACCCAAGCGCAAAATAATGTATAATAAAGATATAATTTATAAATCTTCGCTTATCAACAATAACAAAATATGTTAAAAATAGCCGTCGGGGTATAGAAAAATTTGGTAATTTAGTTTACAAGGTACCTACATAAAAAAAATTGGCACGTTTTTGGTGCTAAAATAAACGAATGCTCTATTAGGGTCAAATGTGCATGTATAAAAATTTGTACTTGTCGAAGGGTTAATTTTTCGAGGATGTTTACAAAAAACTAAGTCATGGGCGTTACTGATGTCATTGGTGACCATTAACGAATATGAAATTTTGTTTTGTCAAATGTTGTGATGTGCATAAGCACAAGCTCAATGAATCACCACCAGGATCCAAATACAAACGAATATTTTCATAAATTTGGGATAAAAAAATGCCGAAACGTGCCTAGCTGCTTACATAATAGGATAAAAACGTGTATATATACACGCGTAAACGTCAAGTTTTGTATCGAGGTTTCATTCATTACTTCAATGTAATACAAAATAATAACATCAATTTCAAAGTAACTAAGATAGTAACATCAGTAGGATTATCTTCGCTTCAAATCATTGTATTATGCATTTATAAGTTATGAAAATCACGTAGATTTATGCCTACACGCATCGCATTAGACCATTATTGCTTATTTGTTGATTTTTTTAAATGATAAACTATTCGGATAAACGGTAAATTATCGATAATTAATCGGTAATTCATCGCTATTACATTGGTAAATTATCGGTAAAATTCGACTTCGGTTCTATAAATGATTCATCACCGAGGATCGTTGTCGATAATTTTCGCTACATCGGTTTGGTAGCGCCCATGTCTTGTACTCTTAATGTTATGCTTTAATCCTATTGTCGTCAATTTTTTATTTCTTTTATGAAATTATTCAAACTTAACATTGCTGGAGTTTCTTCATCAAATTTTAACTTTTTACAAACGCAACTGCAAAACATTACAACAGCAGTCATATTTGGAAAAATTTGCAGTCCATATTTCAGAATTTGTTTTCTTGTGATAAATAATTGAAAACCAATAAGAAATAAGACCACAATTACTTGGTCTTCTATTGGGTGCAGAGTAATTCCATTTTGAAGTGCAAAATGAAGAGTCGCATCTGAAAATTCGTGGCCCGATCGTGGCTGAAAAAAGAAATCCTGATGTCTTGCTGCAGAGTGTCCTGAGGGAACCGATGATATGAATGAACCTCCTTGATACGTTCCACTAAAATTATTTCCGTTAGGTTTTTTATCGTCTTCTAAAATACAGTTCTTTCTTGAATCAATGTCGTTATTTGAAAACATGGTGTAGGTTTTAAAGAGATCGACCTGGCTTCCGATGTTATTGCCAGCATTTGTATTTGAGTGGTGGTGGTGGTGGTGAAAATATTGTTGGTGTGGGTGGTGAGATATTGTACTGTAGTAGTGCGGGTTGAAATATGCTTCGTTGGAAATGTCTAAGGAGGATGAATGGTGCGGTTGTGGAGGCATAGCATAGGGGGGTGGAAAGTAGGGAGGTTGAAAATCGTTGGCGGTTATATTCGGAGTGTGTCTCAAATGATGATGTTGATTCAGTAATGTGTTTGAAATGCTGGATCCAGGAGGAAAAGATGATGTTACACTGCTTTGCATTTGATCTTGTTGAGACTGCAAAGGGTCTACTGTGAATTCTCTGCGATCCTGAATGAAATACAATGTTAATTCTTTCAACATTTGAATTCTTTAAAAAGTTTTATTTCATTAATTAAACTGTTAATATTATCATGTTAATATATAGGGAATACAGTCTATTGAGCAAATCTAACAGCATTTCCGCACCGTTGCACCATCAATAATAAAAATTTGAAAATAGGCGTACGTAAAACAACATGCCAATTGTTTTTGTTAATTCTAATAACATGAAAAACCAATTGCTTGTATTTATAAAAAATCTAAAGTTTATGCTTTTCAAATAATTTTAAATAGATATTCTCGGTTAAATAACTCAAAAATATTTCATTCTAATCTGCTTTTGTAAGGCAATCCGAAAAATCAGCGTGCCGAAATGAAATAAAAAAAGTTGTTTGGCATAGTCGTTGAAAGAAATGCATCTAATTTGCATCAGTTCGCAAAAATCTTCCGAGTGTCCTTCAATACATTAATGTCTGCTGTAGAATTTACAATAGTGCAAATTGATGTAACAACGTTAAAAAATTAAACCTATGGCGGTTGCTTTCAAATCAAGATCTGCGGTTGTTAATCAATTGTTTAATTAATAATTAGTTTGCAAATTAATATATTAAACTTTTACATTAATCAAGTTTTTTACATATAAATAAAATTTTTTTTTACATTTTTGTTTTGTCGTGAGTGTGCAAGACGAGAGACTCATGATGCGTGAACGATTGTCGTCTAATTGCTGACGAGGAGGTCAAATTAATGATATTACAGAAGATGAGTGTCTAATTAAAGAAAATAAATAATCAACAAAATTTTATCAAAAACAATGTGTGCTTAATTTATTTCAAAATTGTTGTTTTTATACATAATTATATATTGTTAATATCCGGCTCAGGTCCATCAAAAATTCCGACGATAATTTTAGTTCAATATCACTACACAAAATAAAAAAAATACTTGAAAAACAGTCTATGTAATCGTCTTTCTAAATAAACATTTCTTTCTATTTATACTTAAAAACATAGATACCAAAAATAATTGTGGTTATTCACATTATTAGCACATCGCTACACATATTTATCTTCAAAAAACACGACCTTTAGGAAATTTTTTAAAACAAAAATATCGGACTCCAACTCCGACCCCAGAAAAATTCCGACTCCGGCAAAAATCTCCGAGTGACTCCGACCTGACATAGTTATAAACATGCACAACAATTGTGAAAGAAAATGGTTAGTCTTTTACAATGGCGGATCTAGGGAGATGGCCCCCCGATGTGAGCTGTTTTTTAAGTCAGAAAAAGAAACGTTTTATGTATAAAATTGACCAAAACAAAAGTTGTCGGCCACACTTCCACAAATCTTGGCCTCTCGTCAAAATTTAAACATTTTCAAAATTTTGAATTTGGAGTCATTTTTTATTGTGAAATGGACCTTACATTAATTTCCATCAGTTCTGTTGATATTTCTTATCTGATATTTTACAATGTTTTTTTAAATTTTAAATTTTGTTTTAGGTTTTTCAGTTTTGGCAATTTTGGCTTTTGAAACTTTTTAGACCTACTTACCACGTCAATTAATTGCAGAAATGTATTAAAATGTAAAATATAAATATTTCGTTTTTTAAATTTCTAAATAATTCATTTTTAAATAACATTAAAAACTCCAACGCTTTATAACATAACTACGTCGGGCTTATAACAACGTTTGTTTAACTCAACGAAGTTTCTTCGTTTGGTTCTGATGATATTCGTGGTT